TTTTTTTTTCTTTCATTTATAAAAATTTAAAAAAAAATTAGAATAGTCCCTAAGAGTACCTTACTATCCTTTGGGATGTGGGATTGAGAGGTGAATGGACCCTAGGGATTGATGAACCTTCCCCCAAACTGCAAAGCTTTGTGTCTGAATATACATGTATCAATAGCATCCCCTCCCCCAGAGGACCAAGTCCCTAGTGTCCCTAAAATGAGAAGTGTCATGACTCGAGATTGAGTGGATGCCAAGGAGGTTTCAAATGCCCAGCCCAGAGTTCCCAAGCCTTAGCACTTTTGACACAGGGACCAAATAATCCATGGTTGTGAGGGGGCTCTCCTGTGCATTGTGGGGTGTTCAGTGTCATCTCCACATCTACCCATGAGAGGCCAATAGTACCTCCTACAAGTTGTGACCATCAAAATCATTGCCAAATGCTCCCTGGGTAGAGGATGGGGACAGACTCATCCTCAGTAGAGAACTTCTGTCCCAGACTAGCAAAGGCTGGAATTAGCAGTGAGAACCCAGAGAAAAACCAAGAACTGCTCTGAGACATATCTGAACCAGACAGCATTGGCTGGCGCCATTCGCGGAGGGGTCACGACCTTCTGAGCCTGCCCAAAGTGACTCCAGATCATGTCCCAGCCCACTAAGGACAGAAATGTTGTTTCCCCTGGTTCCAACCTGGCAATGCTGAATTTGCTAAAGCTTTTTGGGAGGAGGTGTTCAAATTATTGAAAAACTGAGGTGATTGGGGCTAATCTGCTGTGATTTATATGTCTGGTTCTAGACTATATGGATCAGACCCACCCCTTCACACCAGCTCACTTAGGCCCTTTGGAGGTCTCTCTCCTGCCCCTGGGGCATGTGTGTTGGCCAATCCATCATAGCTTATGTGCAAAACTCTTCAGGGAGCAGCGCGGGAGATGAGTCACGAATCCACCAGTGAGCTCCTGGTCCAAAGCCCGGCAGCACACCCCAGTGAGAAGAAGGTCAAAAGCGTTGGGTTTAGGAGGGTTGGAGGTGATCCATGGATTTGTTTATCAACAGTTCCCCCATCAGCCCTCATTACTAGGATAATGAAGCCTGGATGGCAGAAAGCACAGGCTTCAAAACTAATTCTGGGATCACAGGCCAGGCGGAGGAACGTGTTTTTATGAAGTGCTTCAAATCTAAAATCCTTCTCATGGTCATTTCCCTTCCTCAGATGGCACTGGGGTGATTTTCAAGTCTATCAACAATGATCCCAACCAGTATCAGCCAGAACCAGTTCTCAGAGCAGCTGTTACATGGCAGACAGAATACTGGCCTTAGCAGCCGGAGCCAGGAGTTCAAATCCTAGCTGTACTAACCAGGTGACCTCAAGAGAAGCCCTCTTGGCCTGCATGACTGTGTGCTCAGTGTCTGAATCAGACCATGCCTACTTGTCAATATAAATAAAGAAATGAATATTGAAAAATAAATGCTGGCAAATTGATACCGGTTCCAGAGGTACAAAGCCATAGGAGGGGTTAGAAAGAGCCCCCAGAATGGGTAGAATTTCCCTCGGCCCAACCCTAGGAAGCACACAACCTTCTTGGAAGACAACAGATAAGTGTAGCTGAGGCATCACCCAAGGTGAATTCATCACTGATCAGGGAAAAGGAAGAGTTCCTTAACACAAATAGTTAGCAGCATCTCAAACCAGAGAAAGGTTTGGGAACTTCAAGCCAGTCTTATATTTAAGATCGGTACCCATCGTCTAAAGCAGTGTTTTCCGGTCTCTTTTGTCTCACGGCACACTTCAACCTATTGTTAAATTTTTGCGGCACACTAAAATTACGTTGATCAAAAAAAGGAGTAAAAATAAAGGATATACTTACTGTGCTTTAAACTTCTTTTGAAGGTAATTTCATGATCTTTGAAAATGGTCCTGGCTCACCAAAGTTCCTCTCCACTACACACCAGTTGGAAAATCAGTGGGCTAAAGGAACTTCGTAAATTCCTTGCTTTCTAGTCCTGAGAGCAATTGAATGGGCTATTTAAGTTACCACTCAGCTATGTGATGACTTTCTTCTTATATTCCTGCCTGTATGAAATCAGAGCAAAAAAAAAAAATGTTGTGGAATTGCCAGTTAGTCGAAAGGAAATAAGCAATCCATCTTGCTGTAGGGGAGGGCTGAGAACCTACCAGAGAAAGGGGATTGCTTTAAGTTGGGTTCAATTACAAGCTGCCTCAGTAAAACTTGGGGCCTCAGTTCTTGCATCTGAGGGATGGGAATAAGTCCAAAGCCTCTTGATGAGTTGTGGTGTAATCTATCTCAAAGACAGAAGGGCATGTTTAATTGCATGGTGCAGAGCATACCCACATGTCCTGTCCCCCTCTGGAAATCATTTGACCGAGCCACAGAAGGGATGACTCCCTTTCGAAAGATCTTGAAAAGGATGAAGCCCTGATCACTCAGAACATGGGCACAACCCGGTTTCGTGCCAGGTATCCAGGATGCAAGATGGTTTCTGAAATTGCCACCCTGAGATCATGAGTCGTGTGGGACGCAGCAGTAAAATCAGCCCCTTTTGCCTTTCCACAGATATCAAAGAGTGACAACTTTGGGGAGAAGATGAAGGAGTTCATGCAGAAATATGATAAGAACTCGGATGGGAAAATCGAGATGGCAGAGGTGAGTCCCGTGGTGCTGGTCAGGAGCCATGGGGGAAAGGCCCTGTGTCCCCTCTCCCATACCTGAGCATCTTTCCAGGGATCAAAATAGATGGTGGCCTCAAAGCTTCCCCAGCCCCAGCATTTAGGTTGACCAGAGAGAAGGGGTGAGGCTTTTCCTGCGTATCATGAAGGAAAGAGGAAGAAACAAACCACGCCCAAACCAGAGGTGGGGGGTGAGCTCTCGGGAGCCGGCAGGTACTGCACCTGTGTGGTGAGCCCAGCTTAGGACAGTAGGAACTGAGGATTGGTGAACAAGAGCCTCCATGCCCCACCAGACGCATCTAAAGACAACACTTTTTGTTTATAAATATATAATTTACGTAAGCACATATGATGTACATAACATATAATCTGTACATACCATGCACACAGACACTCACATGTATACAAATACACACAACTATACATATGCATGTCAAAGACCTCTGGCAATCAGTTTGTGAACCAAGAATGAAGGTGACAGATGGTATATTGGTCAGGATGTTGCCTGACGCTGGGTTCCCTGGAAGGACAGTTTGTGACAGATTTGGTGGATGCGACCCATTGAGGGAGGACTCTGGAGAGAAGGGAGGAGAAGGCATCAGGAAAAGGCAGGGCAGGATTGGCCTGACCTCATGGGGACTCCGGGGTGCAGGATGTACCACAGACCAGGGTTGTCTGTTGTACCCCCGTGTCAATCCGTCATTGGATGGAGGCTTCTCTCCTCCGAGCAAGGAAAGGACAGCATGGTGAGACTTCCCTGATGGGGCAGCTCTGGCCTGGCAGTTCTGTGAGCCTTTCTAGCAGCTGAAGGATGCCACGCCAGCCTGGTGACAGAGCAGGGGCCAAGAGCAGCCACTATAGACTCAAGAGGGCTTCAACCAGGGGCTGGCAGCCTTTTTCTGTAAAAACACAGATTAGGGTAAATGTTCTAGGGTTTGTGGGCCATACAGTCTCAGCCACAACTCAACTCTGCCATCAAAAGCTGCCACAGATACGTATATAAATGAGTGGGTGTGGCCATGTGCTAATGCAGCTTCACAAACAATCCCTGTGCCATATTTGTCTGGCCGTAGTTTACCACTATGAGAAGCTCCTAACAGAAAGCCAACCTGGGCTGCCTCCACGTGAAGGAGATCAGGGCTCCAGTTCGGCTACTCTGCAGTTCTCTGGGTTCTATTCTTTGCCCCAAAATACCTCCATCCTCAGGCTAGTGGCAAGATGGCTGCAGCAGTCCCAGGCATCACATCCAGATGCAACCATGTCCAGCTGCAGAAAGGATCCCTCTAAGTCAAGAGAACTTAAGTACTTCCTGGGAGTACCCTCTGCAGCCCTCCCCTCACATTTCATTGGCCAGAATGGGATCACATGCCTGCCTGTAAGCCAATCACTGGCAAGGGGGATGAGGTGATCACACTTAACTAATGTGGACTAATCAGAATTTGCCTGTGACCTTAGAATTCCAGGAGCCTAGGAAGAGGGCCAGTCAGTTGGGACGCAGCAGGGAATATTTGCTGCTAGAGAGTGCTTGCATTTTTTAAAAATCAAATTATCGAGGTGTTAATTTACATATAATAAACTGCGTCCATCTAATTTGTGAAATTTCATGAGTTTATACTTAGATTTTAGGACATGACATCATCGCCCCCCAAAGTTTCATCCATCCTGGTGCAGGCCTTCTTATCCCAGGCAACCACCCATCTGCTTAGATTAGTTCGCATTTTTCAGAATTTTATGCACAGGGAATCATCTACGAAGTATTTTTTTTAAATCTGATTCTTGCATTTTAAAGCAGTGCCACTTCCTGCCCCCCTCGCTGCTCCTTCCCTAGGGTAGGGGTAATCCAGAAGCACTTCACAGACATCCTGCTTCCCCTTGAAGGGCTACCAGCCCCTGTTCTCAAGGAAGGAATTAAAATGGAGCAAATATTTCCCCCACTCTGCCTCAGTGCTGGCCTCTCCATCCTTTCTATAGGAAAGTCTTCTCTGCCCCCTGGCAGGTCCCTCTGTAACACTGACGTCATTCTCTGTGTCCCCACAGCTGGCGCAGATCCTGCCAACTGAAGAGAATTTCCTCCTATGCTTCAGGCAGCACGTGGGCTCCAGCGCGGAGTTTATGGAGGTGAGGCCAAGGTGCTGCCTTCCCTCTGCACATGCGCACCTGCCTTCTTCCCATGTTCAGAGCCAGGCTCACCCTCCTGCCCGGGAATGGTCCCTGGGGGAGGCTAACCGCCTTAGAGTTTTGCTACTCAGAGTGTGGTCCATCCACCAGCAGCATCAATATCACCTGGGTGGCAGACCCCCTGACCCCCTGGATCAGAATCTACATTTTGACAAGAGCCCCAGGTGATGTGTGTGCATGTTACGGTGTGGGGAGAAAACAAGAAGTAAGCGTGGGTCAAGTCCGTTGGGAGATGCTATGAACATCCATGTCCTTTCTGCTAGTTTGTCGTGGACATTTGCATATCACATACCAGCCTGAGGAACCTGCAGTAAGGAAACCCATTGCACTCACTTTGGCTCCAAGATCTCCCCCCACCCAGGGTGAGGGACACTGATGTAATTATTGGGTCAGGGTCCCTCAAAGTTAGGGTTCCAAGGAGCAGGCCTGGGAAGGGTGGATTTATGTACCATTCTAAAGCTGGAAAAGCCCAGTGAGAATTCCAGTTTCCAGTACTTACTAGATCTGATCTTTGTGTTCTGGGCTCCAGTGGCCCCCTTTAAAATGGGCATCACCCTCTTTGCAATAAAAACTCATTGAGAGGTTTGGTGCCCATAGCACAGTGGTTATGGTGCCAGCCACATACAGTGAGGCCAGTGGGTTCAAACCCAGCCTGGGCCAGCTAAACAACAATGACAACTGCAACAAAAAATAGCTGGGTGTTGGGGTGGGCACCTGTAGTTCCAGCTACTTGGGAGGCTGAGGCAAGAGAATCACTTAAGCCCAAGAGCTGGAGGTTGTTGTGAGATGTGACGCCACAGTACTCCACCGAGGGTGACATAGTGAGACTCTGTCTCAAAAAAAAAAAAGAAAAGAAAGAAAGAAACTTCATTGAGAGGCTGGGCACAGTGGCTCACGCCTCTAATCCTAGCACTCTGGGAGACTAAGGCAGGTGGATCACCTGAGCTCAGGAGGTCAAGATCAGCCTGAGCAAGAATGAGACCCTGTCTCTACTAAAACTGGAAAAAAATTAGCAGGGTGTTGTGGCAGGCACCTGTAGTCCCAGCTACTCAGGAGGCTGAGGCATGAGGATCTCTTGACCCCAGGAGTTTGAGGTTGCTGTGAGCTATGACACCAGGGCACTCCACCAATGGTGCCAAAGTAAGACTCCATCTCAAAAAAAAAACAAGACTCATTGAGATTCTCATATAAAACATGACCTTAAACCTCCAGTGTCTTTTGAGTAATAGTCCACTGATAGCTTAAACCCTATGAAATTGCTGATATTTAACGATTTTTACACACAAAAATTGGAAACTCTGTCCAGTTCAGCCACGTATATTACTCATCCTGGTGTCCAGCAAACAACCAATTATTTCTTCCTTGTTTTGTGGGACTCTGCACTTGAAGCCATTCAGCATCTGTGTCCGTGTCCCTCAGAGTGAAATTCAACCCGTACCCATCACACAAACTGCCTACTCGGATAAATAATGACTGGCCTTCAATGTGACTGTCATTGCCATTCATTGGGTTAAATCCATTTCTGGCCACCGGTAATCCGCTCCCTGTGATTCACTGCCTAAAACGACTGGACAGCTAGCCCAGAAACCACACAGCAGTGACTTTGTCTCATGGACATAATGTTGGTTAGAAAGAACCAGTTCTCAGGGTGGAAGAGTCCCTTTTTAAGCGGCAGCTTGCCTAAGCATCAGATACCCATTTAATTTTATGGTACTTTAAAAGATTTTCTCTAGATTTTTTCCAAGATGGCAAGATTCCAGAAGCTGGTAATTGACATTCTGGCTTCTGTCCTTGGTCCTTCCCTTTCTTGCCTGTCTGGGAGACCAAGTTCTACATATGCTTATAACTTGTCAGGGCGCTACCTTTGTGAGTATCAAGCTTTCCGTATGTAGAAAAGAGAGGCTTATGCCTGACCCCTCCTTTCCTGAAAGAGGAAAATCCCAAGACTGGCCTCCGTTCCACCTCTGATCTGGAAACAGGATGACAGCTTGCAGGGGCAGGGATGCTTAAAGAGGCGCTAAAAGCACTCGCCTACCCCTCTCCCTCTCCTCCAGCCCTCTTTTTTCTCTCTCACAAAATTATTCGTGGTCCCCCGCTGTGTGGTTGACATAATTCCATATTCCTATATGCCCTTATGCCTCTAGGTCCCAGCATTACTGCAGAGCACACACCCTCGCCCAGTTTCCTGGGACCCCCACCTTCCTACAACACCATCCCCTCCTGGGGTTGTCCATTTGTTCCAATTTTACCAGCCAGGAACATGAAACGCTCCCTCGGTGGCCCTGAAAGGCTGTGCTCTCAGGTAGTTCCCATCCCACCATCTCAGCACATTTTCACTTCTAATTTTATCAGTGCCTCAGGATTTCTTTGAGATTTCACAAAGCGCAGGTCTCTTGAACTCTTTCCCTTGAATAAGAAGAGGACAGGGATGCACTCATGGGGCTGATGGATACACACGCGGGGCTGGAGGGGAAGAGAAGTGGGGGAGCCAGAGCGGGTGGGGGGACCCCGGGAGAGGGCAGGCCAACCCTGGAAGGCAGCAGCGGCTGCTTAGATGTGTGTGGAGTGTGGATGGAGGTCCCTTCAGGTCATCGTGCTCCCCCCTTTAGGCAACTTAGGGGGTGTCTGACTCTTCTCTCAGTCAAGATTCAACTTAGATGACTAGATTCTAATGCACTAAGTACCTGCAGGTTGTCGGGGAAGTCATATTTGGAAACCCTTGCAAATCACGTAGTGCCTCTTCAAGGGCAGCCTCTCACAAGGAAGGATTGTGATGGAGCCCAAGGCATTTTATTCCAGAGTAAAGGCACTCTTCTAATCAAATACCATCAACCCGAGTTGTCGAAGGTACCAGTCTTCCTTTTTGCTGGGATTTGCTTATGTATCATCACTTAAAAAAGTAAAAATAAAATCAGGACCTAATTTCCAAGCCCTGGCACTAACATACCATGAAAATTACATAGCCTTGTTTGCTGGCATGAAAGAAAGACCCTTTCCATAAAATCTAAATAAACTCAAAATATCATAATACTTTTGACAGTAAAAGGGGGACCTGAGGTGGGGAAGTGAGGAAGTCAGGAAAGAAAATATAGGAAAAGGATTAGTATGTGTTTTTTTTTTTGCGACTCTCAGAAAAGCAAGCATTGCTGGTATTCAGGTGTGTAGTTTAGAACTGAGGAAGAAGAAAAGAAAAGTCAGGGAAATAAAACTTGAAAGGATATTTAGGGAATATAAACTGCCAAAATAGAGCCAAGGTTTAGGGAAACAGATCTCTCTGGGCCTCTTTGCCCCAGACACAGGCAGCATCCTCCCCACCTCACCTCCTTCATCATGGCATTCCCTTGTCCCACCAGATGGCTTGGGTAGAAGGCTGGGTTTTCAGAGAAGTTGCATATGGGCCCATATTTTCTCAGGACCATTGTATCAGTTACCTATTGCTGCATAACAAATTAACCTCCAAATTTGGCTGCCTAAATCAACAAATCTTAATTCTATCACAGTTTCTGTGGTCAGGAATTGTGGAGCAGCTTAGCAGATGGCACTGGTTCAGAGTCTCTCCTGAGATCATGTACCAGATGTCAGCTGGGCTGCTGTCATCTGAAGGCTGGAGTGAGGCTGGAAGACACAACAAAAACTTTCTAGATGTGTTGTCAGCCAACAGTATGGCTGTTCACAAGAGGCCTTAGTTCCTTGCTAAGTGTTGGCAAGAAGACTCAATTCCTCATTACATGAGGATGTAGGGGAATGCTTGAGCATCCTCACAGGATGACAGCTGACTTTTTCCAGGGCGTAACAGCAAGAAGACAGCCATGACACTTTTTGTGGCTTAGTCTCAGAAGTCACACACTGTAATATCTGCCATATTCTGTTTAGTAGAAGTGAGTCATTAAGTTCAGCTCACATTCAAGGAAGGGGTATTAAGTCTTACCTTGGGAAGGGAGGAGAAGAAACTTTATGAACAAGTTGCCGTGCATCTTAAAACCACAAAATCTATTTTTCCTTATTTCTCCTGTGTAATGTCTGCTCCTGCTTAGATGGCTAGAACAGAGAGGAAGGAGGTGGTCAGACCCTTATCACCTGCTGAAACTCGGCTTCTTTTTGTCAAAGAGATAAATTTTCCCCCTCCTTCAGATGCTGTGGTCAGCAGGCTGTGTCCTGATTCCTCTCAGGGATCCAATATATGCAGCAAATAATTGGGGCTCAGCTCAGAGCCCAGACCCAGTGTGGCATTAGATCCTGGAGGGACCTGATTGGCTAAGTTTTGATCACATGCCTACCTCTGAAGATGGGTCAACCTCCCTGGAACCATATGGATTAAAAGTGGGAGATGGGTGGTTGCCTTAAAAAAAAAAAATGGAATACTTTGTAACAGAAAAGTGGGGAAGAAGCTTTAGCTTTGGAGTAGACTGAAAAAAATTGATTTCACTACCAATTTTGCCTCGGCACCCAACATGGCTGCCATATGCACCATGACAGCAGGATGGTGGAGGGTGTAGAGGGAAGAGTCAGTTCCTACCCATTCCAGAGGGTTCTTCTTCTTGCCTCTAGCCCCTACCTAGGTATGAGAAGCTTCCAGAGTGATAAAAGGACACCCCATATACCCAAAGCAAAAATAAAATCCACCAGATCCTTGTTCTAGTCCTGGTAGAAGCTGCCTGATTAGCACCTTAGAAAGTATCAACCCTGATTACAAGAGGACCCAGAAAAGAACCCTCGGCTGCATCAAGTTAGAGCAAGGAGACCCTGTCCAAGCAGTTTTCCTCTTCCCCTGTGGGATCTGGCCTGAGACACTTTCCCTCATTTCCTCCTCTGTGGCACTGAGGGAGTGGGCACACCATTTCTCTGTGACCCCATCCCATTCTGGAATTTTTCAATATCAAGCTCCTGCAGGCCCATTAAAGGGAAATGGAAGGAGGTGTGTAGATTTCCGTATCTCTCTGCAAATATGCCATTCCCATTGCAGGCTTGGCGGAAGTATGACACAGACAGGAGTGGCTACATCGAAGCCAATGAGCTCAAGGTAGGATGCACCTTGAGGAGGGTGGGGGCTGGAGTGGCAGCGTAAGGAACTTGGGGAAGGAGGACCCATGGGTCTGTGATCAGCCCAGGAATATCCGGGCCTGGCACTGAATTGTTGGATTTGTTCAGGGGAGCCACGTGAAATCAGTAACGCAGAGCTACAGTGCCACAGAGTTCAGCCAAACCCCACTGCTCTGCACCTCAGAGCCCAAGACTGGCACCCTCCAGGCAGTTCCAGAAGCCTGGCCTTCAGCTTGTAGGTCCACCCTCAAATTTCCTGAGCACCCAGTGAGACCCAGGCACTGCTTAGCCCTGTGTGCTGGGCTCTGGGGAGGCAAAGCCAGTCTCTCTCACCTGTTATGTGGGACAAGCTTGCACCCAGGAGCCACTAAGACCTTCAGAGTCACTCACCAAGTGTTAAGGGGTTAGGACATTATAAGGGCTGGGCCATAGAAGTGGCAGACCTCAAAAACCAATGTTAACTGACTGAACAAGTGAACGAACGGGGACTGAATGAATGAGTCAGGAGCTCTGAAGAGGCCTTTTGCCTTCCAGGGATTCCTGTCCGACCTGCTGAAGAAGGCGAACCGGCCATACGATGAGCCCAAGCTCCAGGAGTACACCCAGACCATAGTGAGTGGACACAGGGGTCCCCCTTCCCTGAGCCCCAAGCCCCTGAGACTCGGGTGTTTGCTGACTCTTCAGACCCAGGTGAAGTGACTCACAGTGGCAGCTGGCAAGAAGGGTGCCAGCTCACAGCCCCTCACACCCTTTGAGGTCCTCACTGAGCTGACACCTGGGCCAGTGTGAGGTTGGCAGCATCTGTCTCCATGGCAACCTCTGCAGCTCCAGGAGACGATAAACTTGAGACAGGAGGGGGGCCTGTAGCACTGGCCTGCTGTGCTGAGAAGGGAGACAGGATGTGCCTGAGTCTCTGCTGTCCCCAATGACTGAGTTAGACCATGCTCATCCCTGGTGTCTAGGTGACCTCAGAGGTGGCAAGAGCACGTGCCACTTGCCCCTTTCCTCTCCTCTACAGAAGGGGAGATGGCAGGGCAAGGTCAAAGCAAATAACCCAGGCACGTCTTTCTGTCCCCAACAGCTACGGATGTTTGACTTGAATGGGGACGGCAAGTTGGGCCTCTCAGAGATGTCCCGGTAAGCACCTGCCCTCACTCCCAGTGTCCCGTGTAACAAGACTCCCTCAGAGCCCTACCTCTGAGATCAGTTGGTGAGAGTGTGGCAGGTCTGGGTGTCAAGCAGCTCAGGACAAAGCCAGAAGGAAGCACGAACATCGAACGTCAGCACCTCGCCTGTCAGTCTCACTCTTCCTTGAATTTTCCACAACTCCTGGCCAGGAAGTGCTCAGAGATCAGAGATGGTGTCCGTAACCGCAGGCCCTGCCTCTGCCACCCTGGCCAAGCTGTTCTGGCCTGTGCTCTGTCTCCTAATCTTTGTCTAATGTTCTTTCCAGACTCCTGCCCGTTCAGGAGAACTTCCTGCTGAAATTCCAGGTAAAACAGCCACTTCCACCTTCATTCCCCGCCACACTTCCCCGGTGCAAGCACAGCACACACCACCACAGCACACAGGACGCACACAGCAGACACACACACCGCCCAACATACCATACACAGCATCACACACACCACAGACACACACTACACCCTCCTCCCACACCACAAGCCGTATACACAACACACAGACTGCCCACAGCACACACCACACACGCCCCCAAGGCCTTTGCTTCTGTCTTTAACACCTTGGTCCTTCCAGGGCATGAAGCTGACCTCAGAGGAGTTCAACGCGATCTTCACATTTTATGACAAGGTAAGAGGGAGACGGCGGAAGGGAAAGCAGAAGCCCCTGCCCCAGGGAGCGCTGGCCAGAGGGCTGGACTCCACCTGCAAGAAAAGATACGCTTCCCCGAGGACTGGGGTTTGTCCCCACAGCAGCATCTGCTGTGCAAGAGCACGGATGTCATTCCCCACGTGGGGCCTTTGGAGCCCAAAGTTTGGATTTCTTCAAGGTGCAGCTGAAATTATCAGTGGGAGATGACCGAGCTCAGAGCCAGGGTTGGGGCCAGAGGGAGGTGGCATTCAGGACCGCCTGGTGCCACACCACACCTTCGCACTAAGGCCAGCTGTTTCTCTTCGCAGTGGGAATGAGATGACCCCCTTTCCCCCTCTTCCCTTTTCTGTCCCCGGCCCACCTGACTCCAGTGACCTTTATAACCAGAGGCTTAGACGTAAACTACAATAGCCCCTGAACTCAGGGAATAACTGAGTGCTTCCTGAATCTCACTTATATTTTCAATACCACCACAAAGGGCCACCCCAAATTTGCCCTGAACTGCCTGTTCCTGCAGTGACTAGTAAGAACAGAAGGGTTGCTTATGTTGTCATGGCACGGTCTGAAACGCTCCTTTCGAGCAGAGCTGTGGGAAGCCTGGACTCTCAGGCCTCCCTGGAATGGGTGGAGTGGCTGGGCCTCCCCAGACCTCTGCCCTGACTCTGCCCCCATCCTCAGGACGGAAGCGGCTACATTGATGAGCACGAGCTGGACGCCCTGCTGAAGGATCTGTATGAGAAGAACAAGAAGGTGAGGCTGGACCCGGAGGCTGGGCCAGGTCCCCAGAGGCAGACAGGAATACCCTGACCGGCTGCACCCCGCTCCCCCTCTGAGCTGCCGTGATTAAGGCCAGGGCAGTTTTCTGTTTGTTTGGTTTCATGTTTTCATTTCTGGTTGGTTGGTACTTTTTTTTTTATTCAATTATGGTAAAATACACATAACGTAAAGTTCACCATCTTAACTTTATTTATTTATTTATTGAAACAGACTCTCACTCTGTCCCCTGGGTAGAGCGCCCTGGCATCATAGCTCACAGCAACCTAACTAGGACTGCAGGCATGCACCACTACACCCAGCTAATTTTTCTACTTTTAATAGAGACCTCAAACTCTTGGGCTCAAGCAATCCCCTTGCCTCAGCTGCCCGAGTAGCTAGGACTACAGGCGCCTGCCATGATGGCCAGCTAGTTTTTCTAATTTGAGTAGAGACAGGGTCTTGCTCTTGCTCAGGCTGGTCTCGAACTTCTGAGCTCAATCAATCCACCCACCTCGGCCTCCCAGAGTGCTGGGATCACAGGTGTGAGCCGCCATACCCGGCCCTTAACCTTTGTAAATATACAGTTCAGTGGCATTAAATACCTTCATGATACTGTGCGACATCGCCACCACCCATTTCCAGAACTCTTTATCTTGCAAACCTGAACCCTGTACCCGTTAAACAACTCCCCAGCCCCTCCTTCCGTCCTTCTACTTCCTGTCTCTATTTGTGACTAAGTACTTCACATAAATCAGATAGCCTTTGCCCTTTTGCAACTGGCTTATGTCACTTAGCATAATGTCCTGGAGGTTCATCCATGTTGTGACATGTGACAGGACTTCCTATGTACAGCAGAATAATGCACTGGGTGAACGTCCCATATTTTGTTTATCCGTTGCTCATCCGTGGACATTTGGGTTGCTCCCATCTGCCGGCTGCTGTGAGCAATGGCAGTTGTGACATGGCCCTGCCTGCAGAAGCGTTAGCCAAATTGCCAGCAAAAAAAAAAAAAGACTTTGCACACAAAGCGCGATTTTGGAGGGCAGGGAGCAGTGGGGAGTGAAAGGCATTCTGAACTGATTAACTGTAGAATCTGGAGCTGGGGAAGGGGCCAAAAGGACCCACTGAAGTTCGTTCCTCTCCAAGAAAAGGCAGAGACGTGAACTCCGTTATCCTGCCTGCTGCAGGGGGCTCGGCGAGGGGCCCTGGGAGGCAGGGGACAGGTGGAACAGCAGCTAAGGGGACAAGCCTTGGCAGCCGTCTTCCTTCACCTCCCAGAAAATGTCTTCCTCTGAGCAAATGGTTTCGCTGCTTTCCTTAATTAGATGACAAAAGCTCCATAATTCCTTGAGTTGTCTAACTGCCTTGGCTGCCGAGCAAGAGCTAAATTTAATGTTCGATTTCAGGAAAAAAATCCCTGCAGCCTCTGAGTCTATCTCTCTCTCCAAGCGCTATCTCATCTCTTTATCTTTATCCTACATCACATCTTTCATTTATTTCATCCGCAATTTTTTTTTGTTGTTACCTACAAGTGCTTTGGCAAGAGGTAGAAAATAAATAAGGAAGCAAATACTTCTAGGAAGACAGAAGTACCCACCAAGTATTTGAACTCAGCAAACTTTTTCTCCTGAACTAGATTCTAGGAGAAAATTATTTATGTACCTGTGTGTGTCCATAACTTTTAGGCACCATAATGGGAAACATCTTTATGAGGTAATTATGAGATTTACTATAAACCCGGAAGGCACCCATTAAATCTCAGTGACCTGAACTTCACCAACCAACTAGACTCTTTGTGGATTAACGCAAAGGACAACTCGGCCCAGGTTGACGCCACATATGGAAACAAAAGTAAGAGATTCAGGTGCTGCGGTTCAGAAACAACTCCGAAGTTTAGAGAACAAGGATATTTATAAAGCTGTTTACCTGAGAGTCTCCACCTGTATCAGGCCCCAGATCTGGCACCTGGGGACTGAATCGGTAGAATGAGAGAGCTGTATGACTTTAAATAACAGCACCTGAGTTGGGAAAGGAACGGCCATTTTTGGTAAACCCACATAGCAGATGTGCGCTCCACTCTGAAAGTGCCTGCATGGACTGTGATAAGGTTTCTGAGCAGATTATTTGAGGCTCCTGGAGGGACAGGCTGGTGGGATTGAACTTGGTATTGCATTCCTGAGGCCATGGCAATTCACTCAGTTTTAAGCAAAATTTCTGGACACAGAAAGGAAGGAGCCCCAGCAGACACCCCCCATGCCACTCAGCCTCTCACTGTGGGAGTTGTCTCAAGCTTGGGGCTGATATCTGGGGCCCCTTCCTTGGCTCCAAGTTGAGCGGCAGAGAGATCAGGCACATCCCAGTGTTATGAATTACGTGACATTTCCCGAGTCTTCACAACTGGAGGGAAGATGCTCCCTGCCCCTCAAAGCTAGAGATGCTTGCAAAGTGCTCTTGGGTCTGGGTGGCACCAAACCAGAAATCGATGATGTGTGGGAATCCTCCAATGTCCCGAAACAACAGAAAAAAAGAACTTTGAGCACTGAAAGAGAGCTGGCAAGACAATGAGCCAGGTAAATAATTAGATTCCAGGGTTTAGGGGACTGGAGACGTTTATGAGATGACTGTACTACAGTTTGCTCACCGGTAGAATGGAGGTAATGACCCTGGACCTGGAAGGAGAAGCATTAAAAAAAAAAAGGATCTGCCCATACTTAGATATGAAAGAATAAGAATCAGGAGGAGAAGGAAAAAAAGAAGGGAGGGGTGAAGAAGGAAGGAGAGGGACGGCAGGGAGGGTCGGCTGGCAAGTGATTTTCCAGTATTGACGACTCTGTTATATTTCCAACCCACTGGCTATTTGTATGCAAAACAGTTATCACAAAGCATGTAGTCAGCGTGAGGCATTTCGGTCTGGATATTCTTTTTGAGATCGATCTCCATTTTAGTGGTCTATGAGACTGGGGCCTATGTTCAGGGATCCTCTATCTTAGGGGCTTCTGAACACCCGCAGGTGGTGAGCTTTGCTGCTGGAGGCGAGAATGGGGTGGGGAGGAGTAAGCATGGCCCAGGAGGCCTGGAGACAAGGCCAGAGGACTTTCCTGGACTTCCCCTCTACATCTGCAGGGGCCTGGGGATGGCCTAGCATAAAAGGAGGCCCAGTGATTTAGCAGAATATACAAGTTATGGGTAGACAATGACTCGTCACAGTAACCACGGTTTCTTTGCAGCGCTTGCTGTGTGTCAGGGGCCGTGCTAAGCGTCATCACATTCCTTCCCATGTGTAACCATCCTAACACCTCAGGGAGGCGGGTTCTCTTAGGGTACCCATTTTCCAGGTGAGGCAGCTGAAGTCTCAGAAAGGTTGACTGCTTTCCCCAAAGCAGGGCAGCCAGAAAGTGAGAGAGAGGGTTTTAAACCAGCCTTTCCGACTCAAAGTCAGGGCGGTGCCTTGTTTTATGGCAGGATGGGTGAGGGAAGCGTGGCCTGGGAAGGTGCAGGTCCCTTGGTTGGGGCCACCCTCCGAGCCTGCTCTGCCCCCCTCCCCGTGTCTCCTAGGAAATGAACATCCAGCAGCTCACCAGCTACAGAAAGAGCGTCATGTCCTTGGCCGAGGCGGGGAAGCTCTACCGCAAGGACCTGGAGATCGTGCTGTGCAGCGAGCCCCCTGTGTAAAGTGAGGACACAGGGGCTGCATCCCCACCTCCCCCACACCCTGCCCCTGCTGCCCTGACACTTCTACCCGGACCCAGAGCTCATGAGCACCCCTGCCCTGCCCCTGCACCCCACACCCCAGGAATGGAGAGCTTGAGGACGGGCCAGTGGGGCCTCCCGGGAGCCTCTGCACTCAGTCCTGCCCGGGCAGATGCTCTGCCTGCTGTGGTCACCACCTGCTCAGAAGTGTTGGGGCAGAGGGGGGAGGGCCCCGGCTCTCTCTGCTGTGATGCATGGTTTCCTTCGCTGTATGATTTCGGCTTCTGTGTCCAACGGAGTGGACTCTTTCCTCTAGCTCCCCTCTGCCTTCCACTCGTGCTGCCGCTCACCCCCAAAGTCCAAGTTCCATCTGCCACCTGCTAATGGAGTAGCTGTCTTCTTCAGCCTTTTCTCGCCTCTGTGCTCTGCGTGCGCCTTTTCTCTTTGGGTTTCTTGTTTTACCAAAGAAGAGTTTACAGACAATAAAATGAAAATGTTCTGCTGTGCAAACTCACTCCCTTCTTGTCGGGGGGCCCGTCTCTACAGCTAGTGACTCTTCTTAACAAAGGGAGGGCTGTTCTGGAGGTGGGGGAGGGC